TCAATGCCACGTAGAATTAAGGCAGTTCTGAAGGCGAAAGGGGGTCAAACACCGTATTAGTATGGTGTTCCTAATAATCCTTTAGGTGAGTGTGTATATATATATATATATATATATTATCTAATCTTGGTTGATTAGATAATTGCATTAATGAGAAATTGAACAGGTGTTCCTAATAATCCTTTAGGTGAGTGTATATGTGTGTGTGGTGTAATTTTTGGGGGCCGGGAACCAATTCATTGGTTTTTCATTATTCCTTATGGGAAAAATTTGATCAGAACTCGGACTTTTTAGGATTCAATCCAGAGTCTGGAACGGATTAAGTTCGAGAACCGAGGTACCACTGTATATGCAAACTTTGTCCTGCAACAGTTAAGCATTCTGGTAAGAGGATGAACATATGCGCACATTTTGCTAGACATCATTCTGAGTAGGGCTGCTCGATTATGGCCAAAAAAAAATAAAAAATCATAATCACAATTATTTTGGTCAATACTGAGATCACGATTATTTAGCACGATCAGTCAGTGACTTTGGAAATATCATTAATTTACTGAACCTTTAAAAAAATGTCTTTTGAACTCTAAATAAAATTCAGCTGATAGCGATACTAAAAAGGGTAACTAGAAAGGGTACATTGGGTTTATAACGCAAAACGGGATCGTCATTGCGAAATGGAATGCACACAATAATTATTTTCTCGATTTATTGTTTTGATAATCACTGGAAGTCAATATTGCAATTGAAATTAAACTTTAATTGCCCAGCCCTAATCCTGAGATGGACAAGGCACCTGAGAAGCTTAAAAGCTCAGTGTAGTTTATGCCACAGCAGCAGCAAATATAGCTTTTTGCTAAATTCTAATTTTAAAATATACACTGTTGTATTTAAAGTTGTTTTGCATTGTTTAAATGCTGCCTTTGGGTTTTTGAGGAGAAAAAATATTTGGTGTATGTAACATTTACTCATTCAATTCAGCTGTGCAGCTGATGAATACAGTTTTAGTGGAATGCTCAGCTTTTTTTTCATGTTAATGGATTTATAATTCTAAAAAATAAAAACGGAAAAAATTCTGAATGAATTGGGATGTTCCTAGAATTGCAATATTTACAGAATCACAATACATATTGAATCGGCACTTAGGTGTCATGATAATATCATATTGTGGGATCACTGGTGATTCTCACCCCTCCCAACATTTGGTACTCATAATCATCATGTTCAATGCAGTATAAATGGACTGGGTTAAGATTTGAGTGACTTTAACAAGGGCTAAATCATTATGGCTAGAGAATCATGGTCAGAGCATCTCTGAAACATCAAGGCTTATGGGGTGCTCACGGTCAGCCATGCTCCAAAGAGGGAAAAATCATGAACCACTGTGTAGTAAAATGGATGAGAGAGGGATATAGGGCTATCGAAGGAACAAATAGGCACGCTTAAGTTCACTCAAAAACACTTTAATACAAGTAATAACTTAGCATTAAAATCAATATCAATATATCAATTAAAAGCAATGCAAAATAACCTTGTACCCCAAGGGATATAGAATAGCATATATCATACGAACTAAGGTGTATATATAAAAGAAATAATGAAATATAGACAATGCAAATTATTATCACAAGCGGTGATAATTAATCCCCATTAGACAATTATACGTATAAGCAGCTGCAAAACTATTTACACTCGGACGTGCCATCATCACCCACCTTCACACATGGACTGGGGAGCCCTTTTCAGTCCTGGCAGGTGACCAACACGTGAGTCTCGAGAAAGTGCCGGGCGATGCGCGCTCTATCCCACGGCTGAGCTCCGGTCAGTACTGGGATCTCCCCCTTCCTTTATATTAAATTTAGCGTTGCGTGCAGGCAGGGGGTAAGCTGGCCAGGCTCACCCCTTCCCCCCAGGCAATATGTACTCCAATTCCCCCTTTTGTCAGAGTGATTCTGCTTGCGATACCATACTACAATAGGCGTTCTTGCGCCAGGTGTCTTTGCGCAATGCCTCCCTGTTCCCCCCTAAAGGCAATATAGGGTGCTGTATACCGACCCCCCCCCCCAT